AATTTATATATATTGGACTTATATAATTAATTCAATTATATTAGCCCATAATATTTATTTGGATTCAAATATATTTTATTTGAAATTAAATTCAAACTTCTTTTGAATTTAAATTCAATAAAATTTTAATTGCCTACAAATATATGCTTGTTTCGTACATTGCCTGGGCAGAAAAGGACTTGGAGTATGTAGCCTTAACGTTTCTTTAATAACTAACTTTAGGTATGACAATTTATCAAGATCTTCCTCATCAAAAGTTGTCTTTCCTTTGAAGACTTGTCCCACTTCACTTTGTGCCTTGGCCATAATTTATGGGTTCCTCATCATTTCTGATAATAGTGGCAGCTGAAGTTTTGTTCCAGCGGCAAACATGTCCTACTTCAACAAAAATAAATATATAAATAAAGACAACAGATTCGTACATATCTAAGGTAGTAATAGACAATCCAATGACAATAGTGTACAAATTAAAATGGTTAAGGAGAAAATATACAGAGATCACTGCTTTTATGTGATCATTTGTGATTGGAATAGTTTCCTTAATTCTTAGGAGAACATCAACCAAATCTTCACCTCCAAACTCACCATTTCCCTTACTTCCAAGTGCTCTCTTCATAATATGCTCATTAATGATGTTCTCCAGAGCTGCATCAACCTTCTGATGCAGCTTTAACAATCTGGATTTCACCCCACTCATCTTGTAAAGTAACCTCCAAGAAGGGAACAAATCAGCCACATCTAATCCTTCTAATGAATCCAGCACTTCCCTTAACAAGTTGATTAACTTGTCTTGATATTTGTCTACTTTTCCAAAGGCTGATCTACATGACACAGAGTTTGTAAACCGAAGAATTTTTTCTGTTATGTTGGCAACAGAACCATTCATGGAATGAACTGATGAAACGAGACTCAAAATCTCATCATTCCTAATTGAACTAAAAGACTTAACCATCTTGGCACTTAGAAGTTCTGTAACACATAAGTTACGCATTTGTCTCCAATTGTC